CTGTGGTTGGGACAATCCCTCAAATGCAGAAAATTAGATAAAAAGGCACCGTTAACAAATGCCTGTGTCCACCGCATTAACTTTCCCGCTAATAGAATAGTACTTTAGGATGTTCCAGTGTGTCTTACATGTCGCTTGACAGAGGTTTACTGAAGGCACGCAAAGTGGTGTCTACGACGCAAGTCATCCGACACAGACTATACCATTAAATCCAGGTGGTAACTAAGCCACAAAGATACGGTCTCATCATCCAAACATGCGACACACTACCATATCCACTAAAATCACCCAATCTTCACAATTAGTTAGCGCCTCTATTTGCCTTTCATGCAATATCAGATAATCATTCCTCTGCACATTCCGTGCACAAACTTTTACAATGACTTCTGACTTACGGCTCATCTTCTCTAGCTCCTTTGCTCAGCATAAGAATGAGCATTGCAGAGCCGCCTTAATAACCAGCTCTGATAGCTTTATAAACCTCTATAAGCCTTTATAAACCCTTTCTTACACGCTAGCTCGCTTCCTCATGTTAACGGACTACCCACCAGCAGCAACCGCCAACCACACGTCCTAGGTACATGGCAAGTACGCCAGAACCACAATGCTGGTTTCCGTTTACTCACTGTCCAGTGGTTCACATCCAGCTTCATGAAGGTATACACAATTATGACTACCGTCGCACCATCAACATACATACATGTATACCCTGTATACAAACATGGCCACACCCGTTTACTTCAATCGCCCAACACTCTTCCCCAACAAACCTGAATGAAAAATGTCGTTTATTAGATTGAGTGCCGTTGCGCTGCTTGAGCAGTAAAAATATTAAAACTCCCAGGTGCTATTCTGGTTTGCAGTCTACCGGCTACCCTGTGCCCCTCCGATGACACTTACAGCCCGGTTCTGCGTCCCCAAATTAGCTAAGGGTTCCGCGTCTGAAAGGTCGCAACAAACCAGACTGGTGAAGACAGATTCGTGAATGTACCTGCAACATTCTGGTCACGTTCCGTCCCATTTCCTTTGCCAACCTTAACCATTCTAACAAGCCAAACAGGTTCATCCTGGACTTTTACGCATCTGACTATTTGCAGAACTAAGCGTGACCATACCGCCATCACGATACTTAGAAAGATGACATGCTGCGATTCACCACTTCTCGGCTATTTCCCGGCTAAGCATGTTATGCGCAACCACAATAATATTTCAGTTCACCGGATCAATACCGAGTCCCCAAAGTAATCACCACCCTGTGCTCGTTTTGTTCGCGCACCCCCTTTTTATCCTGATGATGAACATCTGGTTCTATGCCGTGTGAACACGTATTGTGCCTCGCAAAGCCTGGCCAAAGGGCATCCACACATTTTATAATCTGTTACTTTACTTGGTTTCATGTTTACCTGGATTCCGTCGATAAGTCCCCCTTTTTCCTACTCTGCCCAACTGTGGTTTGTTGGCCTCATTTTGTTATCTCCGGTTTCAGCAAACACTTGTTCATCTCGTTTTCTTTTTCCGTGGGTTTTAAAAACAATTACTATGACGCTGAAGACAGGATTGTCTAAAAATTTATCCTTAAGATTACCCAGTCGAAGGAAAAATCTGAAAAAACGTAACTCTGTTGGTAATTCTCGAAGGTATTTGTGTATTCCAACAGCTTTCACGCCAGTAGCTCCAAAAAAGCAACTTACTACCAAATCATTAGATGGCACCACAAAACTGTACATCCTCCTTTATGGAGTGGATTCCGCTAATAAAGGAAATCACCTTTCTATGTCTATAACCTGTGAACCAGATTAACGGCTCCGAAGCCTACAATATGGAAGCTGGAGCTTAGAAATATCTGTGTGCAGGAGACGCAAGTGGCTTGACACTATGGTGCGCTGATAATATCGAGTTATATCAAAGAAGACGAAACGCGGATTCATTTATTCATTTATTCATCTGTGATGGTTCGACAATCGGCAATGCAAGAGAACTGTCTTATGAAACCCTGTGTCGGTGTGGTTGGTGGTCTGTGGTTCGGGGGAAGATATCCTCTCGATTACTTTCAAATAATGGATTTGTAGACCACTACCTTGGCCCACAGAGAATTCTTCTGTAAGGAAGCACACCATTGCTACTATGAAAAAGGTTTCGTTGGAAGCTCTGGTTGTTTTACTCAGGGAGACCTGGAAGAACCTCAGGGCCCCGGTTTCGGTAACTTTCAGCATTCTGTAACAGCAGTGTGAGGCTGAGTAATAGCCGTTGTTCCTTGCGCAAGTTAGTTGCCATTTGACATTTCTTGCAAAAGTTAGCTGCCATGTGTTCCTTAGGCTTTCGAAGGAGATTATTCCCTTATTTTCATTGATATCACATCCGACAATTTCACACTGTTGCACCATGTCGGTGTGAGCAAGATATCGACGGTGAGAAAGACATGTTGGGCGGGGGACGCTGTTAGCTGTTGGCAATTGACAACGTACAGACCAAACAGGCGTCTGTTCGAAAGCTTTGTGTTTTTGAATCCGTAACTTTAGCAACGGCAACACTGCTTAGATTTAGCTAGATGCTCCACGCAGATTGAAAATTTATGCTCGCGGGCAAGATCTCCTTAAAAATAAACTGACTAGATTCCCTTAATTTGCGGTGGGATATCAAGACAAATGCTACCTTTATGCATGCATGAGTGACCTACTTTGATTTTGTATCTGACGCTATTTTGCTCACGTCACATAAAAGAGCAAATCACGCGGATGTGGTTTAACTTTCAGGCTTTTCGAAGGATTTGAAAACATGGCTTTCCAGAAAAACGACTTCAACTTGCACGTAATCTGACTAGGACCATTTTACGATAGGTCCTCATTTTTCTTCCCGTCCTAACTATTAGCTGCGTAATTTTTTCATTTGCTTTAAGATAGTTTACCTTATTTGGAGCCGCCGTCATAATGAGCGGAATTGTGCTTGTGTTGAAATCAGGGGAGGGACAGTACAGCCACATACTATTTGCGGCATGGCAACGGACAGCGCTGTTCCGACTAATACCGTAGAGTTGAAGGAAAGAGAATAGGCGATTTTGAGTGAATCATACATGGCACAACAGAATCAGAATCTTCGTCTGCTCACAAGACCTCGGGCAATTCATTTACGTGCCGTATATTTGAGGGTTAAAGTGAGAAAGCAACAAGCTGCAGGTATCACGAAATGCGAATCACCAGTTGAAGATTGCTTTGTGTGCAAAAGCCTATACGAGATTTTCGCTGGTGAAGTGCTCACTCTACAGGAAAGTGGTTCTCTCTGTTTATTAGATGACTCATTCATAGTGAATTTCCGATAACCTAAAAAGCATCTTCCTCTCTTATTGGGACGTGAGCAGTTCAATGAAAATTGCGCAATAAGCCGGCCATACGCTTCCTGGCAAGGCAGGCGTACAAATCAAAACTACAAATATAATTCAGCATTTCATGTCGGGCAGATTTGAACTTGCGCTTGTTCCCGGCATAGCTGGATGGGTGCGAGGTTCGTTGCGCTGCCTGTTGTGATCGACAAAAGCTAAATGTGGCTAGCTGATATGGCACCGTGGAACTCTTGTTGCGTGTTAGTGGGGTGTCAACTAAGATTGTCCAGCTATCCTCCATAGTCGGCGACGTGGTCATCTTGACATGATTTTCAAGGTAAAATTTGGCGCGCGGCTCTTTAGTAACAAACATTAGATGGTCGAAAACATGCCTTATCCTTTTTCAGGCTGGCACGATTAATCCGGCAATACTGGGTGTTGCTTAGGCGTGTGGCGTTTTGTACCTCTATTTTACTTCCATTATAACACTACGTATTTCATCAATTGCATAATCGTTTTTTGTTTGAATACGAAAAACTACAAAAACGTGCACTTGTACAATTTCACAGAATACAAGCGTGGTCACGTGCTTCGACTCTCTCTTCTGATTTCGCTCGCGCTTGCAGCGGTCATTCGCGAGTCTAATGTACTAACTCTGGTACCAAAACATTTCAGACATCTTCGGCATCTACTATACGTGGGAACTGTTCAGAGGAAGACCTCTGGACCAACATAATTGGATTATTGTTTATTCGCTGACCTGGGCCAACGACGAACTATTTTAAAGAGAACAATTTTTAGTGAGTCTGTTCCTTTTGGTCTCTTTATTTTGGTATACCCAACCTAGCGTCATCATTTTTATTTCTTTGCCACACACTCCTGGTATACTAACTTTTTGGTTGCCAGACCATTACAGGCGATGTTGAAACGATACGAAAATTAGCAGTCATTTTCAACGTCCCTGAACAGATATTTCTTTATCCGATCAGTCAAACACTTGTAAACTGAGAAATTCATTCGCAGCAGTGCCACTTCCGCATATTTCGGGTTCACAAGAACTTTGGATTTTCCAGATTTTTAAATGAACTTTTTCAGCTGGATAAGAATGTGCGGCCCCTCCATTGTAACCGATGCAGTTTACCGCACTTCGCGATGTCTTATTATATAAGGGAGCCTATTCACTATCAGCGAAGATGGACGACACTGAATATCCGCTCACTTAAAAAAATCACGTATGTTGATAATTTGCAGTGTTTTTAATCACATCTGGACATTGTAAAAAAACGAAGTATTAACCCTGAAAAAGTCGTAACTTTCCAGAAATAAATTCCACTGAAAGAATGGTGAGCTAACGGCCACCTTGACCGGCGTTCAATATTCGCGCAATGGAATGGAATTTTCGAAAGCCCTGACTCATTCCTTAGCGAAAATACAACCGGGCGATGGAGTTCAGAATACCAGTTCAACTTCTCGAGCCCCGCATCGGCATCCTGGGTATCAGTGGTGATGGGAAATTTTTCCAACAGACGTTCCCGCCAGATGTATTACTGCTTCAGCGGACAATCAAATTTGGTGAGCCTTTTTGATCAAATTCATGTTGCCCCATTGATGGTCATTTAATTTCTGACCTAGTTGCATGGTTCACTAACCTAAAGTGAAGGTCATTGGCCATGCGTACGGGCTGTGACTGTTGACCTTGACTCTAGGCGGTCTGCGATCTTATCACGCGGTTCCGTTGCTTTGACTGCCTGGGCTGGATTTTCGTTGTTTCAGCATCTTTTTCCACCTCAGAGAGTGCACGCTTGAATAAATTTGAACCTGCATCATCCAGAGAGTTCTGAGCCATCCATTGGATGGGCCAATGTTAGATGAGACAGCCGTGCACATCCTCGGGGGCGGGTAAGTCACGAACGGTGTTTATGTCGATTGTTGACTACATGATCCTATACCGAATTCGTTAAGAGCGAGGAATTCCGTCGTCACATTTTTAGTTTCATGGTTTTATCCAGTTCTTGATTACAATCCAGGTGGCTGCAAGTCCCAGGTTGAAAGAATTCTTCGGCAAATGTGTTTTCCTAGATGAATATATTTGGTACAAAGTGCGTTTGGGAACTACAAGCGATTTAGGCTGTATAAAACATCTGGTTAAACCACGGCAGAAGGCAGAAAAGCACGATTAGAGAGCGACGCAACAGAGATATGTAGCGGACTGGGACCTTAACAGCGTGTTCGGATAAATTAACAAAGTAACCAATACAAAATCACAATAGGAAAAGAATGAGTAGTCAAATTTGGACTCACGAATGTGTAGATCCAATAGTCCACTACACCGATCCAAATGCAGCAACTGGCTGTGGAAATAAATATTCACTTATCGAAATTTTCCCGCCATTGGTTCTGCGCGAGTGGTATATTCCACGGTAGGAAAATTTTCCCCGGCTAAAAAATGTCACGGGGATTTATTAAGACGTTCGGACGCTCAACGGTTGACACAAACACAGAGATTTAGTCCCACTTGTTCAGCAGTCAACAAACAGTTCAACGGGGCGTAAATACGCTCGTTCAGCAAGAAGTCAGCGGTTCGCGCCGGAAAATTGTGTATTCGTAAGATTAGAACAAACGTCATGGTGCAATATGTACGACAGTTACAAAGTGTGGTTTAAGTTCAAGAAGAATGGTAAATGTGACAACGGATTACAGACACTACAAATATGACACCTTTTGGACCACCATTGGTAGAATTCGGAAGTCCGTAGTTAATTAGGACAAGCGTTTATTGCCGGATGTCGATCGTATTAAAAGATACCGAAAGCAGTGGAACTTCTGATTAATCCTGATGCACGGCACGAAGGAATGCCGCTTGAGTGAACATTAGGATTTGGAGTGCACGCAGGGAGAAGCTGCTGATTGCCCGAATAACCTTTATCGCCTGCCACATTAGCCGTCTTTGGGAGAAAGTCCGCAAAGCAAACCAGATGGAGTCAGGGGCGAACTTATTGACGCGAACTCATGACCATAAGATTTTCTCTCCGGGTTAGCCCTCGGACTTTCTGGTGGCATGGCAGCTAGGCACCGAAGGGTGTTCCGAGCTAATGCCGCTTGAGTGAACATTAGGATTTGGAGTGCACGCAGGGAGAAGCTGCTGATTGCCCGAATAACCTTTATCGCCTGCCACATTAGCCGTCTTTGGGAGAAAGTCCGCAAAGCAAACCAGATGGAGTCAGGGGCGAACTTATTGACGCGAACTCATGACCATAAGATTTTCTCTCCGGGTTAGCCCTCGGACTTTCTGGTGGCATGGCAGCTAGGCACCGAAAGGGTGTTACAGCTGAACGGTTATCTTTATCGTCATATATGTTTACCTCTTTGTGTTTCCTTATGGACGTTTATCGCACGAGAGTAAGTGGGCTTTTGTACACCGTTGGTTCTAGATGGTTGGTTCTAGAGCTCCAAGTTTTCGCCTTGATTGTGTACGCTGTTGATTGGATGGCCCTCGTAGTTCAAGACGCTGTATAGAAACAGCAAGCCAAAGGTCCATGCCAGGATAGACAAAATTTATCTTCCGAGGAGGACTGAGCATTGGGAGACAGCGTGCCATCCATAATGTGCGGCAACAATCTCACTTCGTGTGTCCTGGATGCAACTGGAGAGATGAGGCAGTCTGGAATAATGGGATGCCTTACATGAATAGACTCCGTCAAACGGCCTTCTAACAATCCAGTTCGCCCCGTCAAATTTTGATCTGGTTTTTTAAATGGCTTCTGATATTTGTCTTGAGAACAAGTAAACTGGTACAAGTTCGTATATACAAAATAAAACAATGCAGCTAACGTTGGGGGCGAAGTGAATTGATGGAGCCGGTTGAAGCAAAATGTTTGTTGACCGCATCCTACTCACAAACCCGACATAAGTGTTCTTGTCGTGGTTTTTACATACCAGTATAATCGGACACTTGTAACATCAAAGCGGCACCCAGAGGTATCGTTTGATTCGAGTGGCAGCCCAAGCGTGGTCCTGTTTTTGGCACAGTATTATCCGAAGTTTTCATGTGTACTTTGAACAGGTCAAGACTACGATAGGTACATACGGGTGCTGTTATGAGCTTCGGCCAATCCTAAATTCCTTATCAAGGTATAATGTACCTTGCAATACTAGATGTCGGAAATCAGGTCGGTGAAAAAAACATCTTGTAGAACATCGCTATGGTATTCATCGGCTATTACTATTTTAAGACCAGAGTCTGGAGGGACTGATCAATCGGCCTGGTTACTTGTTCACAAGCTCACGGTGAATACTGAATGTAAATAAAGCCTTTCGGTCTAGTGTAAGAGACACGAGTCGAGTCACAGTCGGCGATATACTCTTAGACATCGGAACTAACATTCGCCAAGAATGGAAACTGATGTGCCGTTGCATTAAGCGAAGCTGCACCAGAGATTACATCGTTTTCTAGCGTTATATGAGACCAGACATCGTCAAATCGTTAAAATCCCAAGGCGTTTTCCATCAGAAACCAATGGTCGCGCACTGGAGTGAAACTCCATATAAGAATGCGGTGAATTAGACCAAGGTAATGATCCGCAATCTAGGTTTTAATTTCTATGAAGTTTGTCGGCAGGCCCGCAGTTTCCAACCCAACTGCGACACCTCGACTGCTCATGTCTGAGTTTGAGTAACCCGGTGATACATCGGGCCCTGTGACACTACGGGTAGCATGGCAGCTAGGTACTGGTAAGATATTACGGCTAAACTATTATTTATTGTTAAGTATATACAAAGGAGGTAGTGGTGGAATATATGAATGGGGCAAAAGTCAATTGTTATTGGATACATTACGCGTTGTTGTTATTGCTATTGTTGTATGGCTGAGAACATTCTTCGGAGTAAGTGGTCTCGAGATCTTTGATCGTCAATGTTTGGAAGTCTTTGCTCTTATCGGACGGCTCGAAACAGCTTAGTGGTTATGATGCAAACGTTTATTTTTGCTGAGCCCAACGAATCCTCAGTGGTGTGATAATCAAGTGTGTGTGCGTCGATATAGCAGATACTTTACCCCAGGTTATATCCAGCATCATACCTACGGTGTCGTAGTCGTGTGCTAGGTAGGCCACTTATCGTCCAGGGGCGTGCGTCAAGAAGAACAGCGTTCAGCTTGGAGTGGAACAAAGGAACAAAAAGTCTGCGTATTGTCTGAGCGGCCTACCTTCGTGGATAGGGTCTTTGTGAACTTCATCCGGCTTGGCTTAACCAACCTTAGGATACAGCAGCTAACCAAATTTAGTGGCATAGTTATTGCAACGTTTTTTATCTTGATCGCCTGGCTTGTTGGTGTGGTCACCCGGGATGATTGTGGTAGGCTAACACTACATTCCTCTCCTCATTTCATAATCTACGTGCAGCAGGGTTTATCTAAAAACGACCTGGTTGCACTGCAGAGAAGCACAGGTGCTTCGCCTGCATTGTTATTGAGGATAGTACTTGCCTGAATGTATCGCTTCGGGGCATATATCATCTTTCAGCTGTAGAACCCTTTAGGTGACGAACTGCTATGCCACCAGAAGGAAGCACGAGGGCTGGGATACTGCCAGGTAGCCCAAGCATAGACGGGATGTTACGGTTCTGTCACGCAGCGAGCAAACAATATGATAATGCGGATTGTGGCAATACTCAATCCCCAGCTATGTTGCTTGATCCAGACTCCTAGCACGGCGAATAGTAAGAAGACGAAAACCTCGGACACAAACTTTAATAATCCAACAACACACGATCAACAGGCGATGCCCGGAGCTTCCGAACCCAAGTCAGTGGAAAGAATGGTATCCTGTACGTGGTCGGATTTAAATTTCCTTGGAGTATCAATAGGCCATTGATTTTTCATAGTTTGATCTTGAAGATGCCAGGAGTTCGCTAGCACACATAAAAACACAGCGTTTTCTGGGGGATATTGATATCCATGAGAACGAAGAAGGTAGCGAACAAAGCTTGTTTTCTGTGATTGTTCATCTTGGCTAATACATCACAAATTTATATGGTAGCAGAAATCACGTGGAAAAGGTTAAGATCGGGGCTACACTTTAGAGAAATAGAAGTCAAAGGAAGGGGGTTGGGTGAGGGGTAGGTCAATGGGTCATGACGTCAATGTCAGACAGACTTGTGGGACCAGATGTTTCGTAGGCCAGTTCAAGTTCAGAGGTCGCACAAGTTTCTTTTGGATGCAAAGTTGTGGATCCAGCAGTCGGATTCCTA